GTAAGGATACAGAAGGCGCATAGCACCATTTTCTGCAACTTAATGACGTCATTCGATACAGGGACCAAAGCACCAATCATTTCAGTTTGTTTACAGCAACCAAACTGTAAGGTTACTTTGTTTAGCTCGCCCTCCCACATGGCCCAGATAGAGGCAAAAATCTGCCTCCTCGGCAGCTTACAAGTCAATTCTGCCGTTCCCCTTTAGGAATAAATCATTCTAAGATAGAGGATGGAACTTCAGCTCGCAGTACTCAACTTGAGAAAACTCAAGTTTCGCTGTTTCCCGTTCATGTAATATGTTCTCCCCATGGATATAGATGATTCCGGGCCGTTTGAATCTCGAACATAAAAATGGCTTCTCCTGGTAGAAGAGTATCTCCATATTACATGTAAGTCTATTTTTTTTAATTTTCCGTACAGTATGAATTGCTGATTAGATATATGTGATATATTATTCTGCGCGTGGTACATGTGTATATATAAGTATGAATAGTTTTCTGCATTTCTTTCTAATATGAAAGTCACTTAGAGAACAAAGCATATATTTCTTATTTTTTCTTTAAGCCATTCCGTTCGCTACGTGAAAAATAGGTGTTATTATATCATGGATATAATAATGCCCTAACTGGGACAAATGGGAGAATAAATCTTTCTCTCAAGCGATCCCGTTACAATAGATTACTTAAAAGATCCTTCTTCTATGTGCCGTCTACTTTCAGGACTTAGTCGATCATGGCTCTCAACAATTGCATGTCCCTTGTAGCTCTAAATACACTTTATTTTTTATTATCTCTCCTAAACCTTGATTTACAAAATAAATTTTCTTTACCTATTAAGTGATGTAGAAACTTAATCTCTCTCTTCCTGAACGTTATTCAATTATTCAATTAACTTTTGTCTCAATATTATCTAAAGATTTGTCGTAGCTTCAATGGTCGTTTCTTCGTTCGGTCAATGGTATCTTCAGTATCCTTCTGTAGAATCACATTTATTTTGCTGCAAGTCTCTTCTTCATCTGTGACTAGATTTTTGAGCATTCCCTGCTTTAGGGGAGGGCTGATATTATACCACAGTTCAGTACTACTTTCTTTGATTCTAAAGACATTTTCTGTCTCTTAATAATCAGTTTAACTTCTGGATGGCACCTTTATCTATCAACAAAACAAAATAATAAAAGAGTACGTTTAAATCAGTATAAATATTGATTTGTCCCGGAAAGGGATATATTTGAACGAAGTAGCTAAGTGGATTTGGCTACTAAAACCAAGTAGAATACGGTAGCAGTAATCGACTGGTACGCGTCGTAGTCGCAGGTAAGAAGTGTAGATCAACGGCGTAGTCCAATGGGCGTCGTTATAGACTTAGCTCTCAGACTAAGGCTCTTGACTCTCCTACACGTCCGTTGGTATTTATGACGGACACCAGCCAATCATATTCCAGTGAGGGGGGAACACAGGTGTAGGCATATTCCATTATATCACATATTAAAAATGATATAACTATTGTGAGACCGGGAACTACCTACACAATAGACTCTTCCAGGCCTATATTAAGTAGGCGACATAGCACTCTAGAGAGTGACAGAGAGACAGAGAGACAGTGAGAGCCGCGTACGACTACCAGTATTGGACACTAACATATAGTAAGCTCCGCTTACACTATCTCTGTAACCTGTTGTTAATATATCTTTCTTACATCTAATCCGTGTTCCGTGTTTTCCTTCTGTGGTCCCAACTTTAGCCCCACATCAATAACGGAACTAAATTCCTTCTCACCTTTATCTTAGAAATCACAGAATAAGATTTTTTTTCTTACCTTTAGGCGGGATCTTTCAAATTTCCTAGTCAGAATATTTCTCTTTAGCACTACAGAATTACCAAAATCTCTAATCTTGCATCTGGCAAGTTTCTTAGATTAATCGAGTCATTTATTTTTTTTAAATAGCCTCGTCGGCTTAAGAAATCCATGTGGATGACATGAATGGCTATATACTTGTCAAGAATTATCTAAACTCTCACATGTATACAACCGATTTCTCAGATCAATGACTAAAATGGCTGCCAACGAAGGAAAACTGTGAGTATGTGCCAAATATCACTTGTGGATATTCAATAACATCTACAAGGAAGATGGGTAGCACACGAAACTCGAAGAGAAAATAATAACATACACAAGATGCTATCATTCCTCACGACTGCAAACAAAATGTTAGAAGGGAACGTCCCAGTCGCTATTCGCAAAAAATAACAGTTACTTGATTCAAGCATATTTTCATGAATATTCGTTTTAATAGAAAGATTTGATCCATATTTCCTTATAAAGATTCGACTAATAACAAAATTAGTATAAATTTAAAAAAAAAAAACAAACAATTACGGGAAACAAAAATGCAAATAATATGGTACGGGGTATAATAATCTTTGTTCAGTGTACACACATTAGTTCCGTGGTTAACCATACTGATTTGGTTGTTCTGATCTCAATAATTTACGTTTTAAATGCAGTGTGCATCAGATTTATATATTCACGAAGAATTCTTGACTAAAACATACCTTCTTTGTTCGCTTGTAAAGCTTTTCGCCATGAGGTAATGTATCTTTGTACTAACTATATATATATATATATATATATATATATATATATATATATATATATATATATATATATATATATATGTGTGTGTGTGTGTGTGTGTGCGTGTATTTAGGTAGCATATTTTCATTCCAGCATGTTTGGTTGAATAAACTAGACATATATTTATTTATTTCATTTTAATCCTCTAAAATTCATGGATTAATTTCTTAATGTTGTTTTTAAACTGATTCAGAAAGATGCCCTAGTTTTAATTAGTTTTTCTTTATTTTCCAATTTACTTTCAATCTCATCCAAGACCATTTTCAAGGGTAAATTGCTAAAACAAAAACTAATGAAATAAATAGTTCTATATTTTTCAGTTTTCAGACACCTCGTCGTGCTGCAGTGCTTAGCAATGCTTGTCTGTCTGTCCATGATAATTAAATGGAAAATTCGAATTTTTGACATTTGATCTTAAAATCCCCTGACCCAACTTAAATTTTTATTTATAATGTTTCTTTTTTTCATCGCTTATTCACCATTACATATATGTCTTCCTGCTTTGTTCGATTCGTTTTAAGATGGTTTATATCATTAGATGCCAGGATACAAATATATAATTCAAATACAAGGTTAGATTTAATTATACGGTAAAGGTATTCAAATAATCCATAAAATTTACTGAATGTAGATATAAGAATGTGTTTAATCAATACAGAAAAATAAAACAAAATGGTGTAAGGCAAGGACACGTTTACTCGCCTGACGTAGTTAACATAGGTAGCGAAACTAGAAGATCTACCAAGATATATATTCTTCCAAGCAACAGAGATGACCATGTGTTGATGGAAAACATCTTCTACTTTGTCGCATCAGGATGTAGGCAATCATGGCCCTCCACATCTTTCTGTCCCTTGTATTAGGTTGGTGCAAAAATAATGACGTAATAATGTCTTTTTTGACGTATTTTTTAACGTCAAAAAACGACATTGTTATGTCATTATTTTTGCACCAACCTAATAGTTTCTTGTCTTTTTTGTTATTTCTCCTAAACCCTGTTCTGCTATGCATATGCTCATGCCCATCAAGAATGCTATGCACTTCTTTCCTTTCTCCTTCTTTCCCTCAATCTGTCCCATGAATATCATGTTTTCCAAGACCTCCTTCATCATTATGTGCACAGAAACCCACAACTGCCTCTTCCTGATGTTAAGTATAAGTTTCCTTTTTGTTTCCAGTCTCTCCAAAATTTGGTTGTTGCTCACATGTTCGTCCCATGGCATCCTCAGCATCGTCCTCTAGAACCACAACTCTGTGGCTTCAAATCTCTTCTTCATCTTTGAGAAGATTGTCCGGCATTCGCTGCCATACAGGAGGATATATATCACGTAACAGATTAGTACTCTTTTCTTTGTTTCTAACGACATTTTTCTGTCTCTTCAGGGTTGTCTTGTATATTAAGAATTACTTTCTTATTATTAACTGCAAGAATATGCAATATATGATTGTTAGAAAAAAAAGAGAATCGTAGTTTTGAGCTATTGATTGAAGGCAACAAAATAATAATCACAGAGTTTCGGCGGAAAGCTGAGAGATATTCCACGGCACAGACGAATAGCAAAAGATGGTCCCTGTAACTGAGCAAAATTTAAGGGATAGAAACATTGCTTTACAAACAAACACAATAATGCCTAACTGCTATGTATATCTACATGGTAGAGAACGCGGTAAAATTTAGCTGTGGAAGGGGAGACTGGAAACCATGGAAAAACTGTTCTCGCGAAGAATGCTAAGATTAAAATCCACTTAATATGAGGGAAAGTAAAAAAGTATACGAAATTTCAACAAGAGAGCGGATATTTTTTAATTACCCTCATATATGAGGAACGTGGAAATTTAAACTACAAAGAAACTCATGCTAACAATCTGAATGAAACCAGATAAATTTTTCTGGAATACTACGAAAAGGAAGGAATTTAATGGAGGTTACATGGATTAATATACAGAAATCGTATTAACTACTCTCTAATAAGGTGCCTAGTCATAAATAACTTTACGGCACGACCAGCAACTAATTTAGCGCTTCCACTAGAAGCAACATCAACGTCATTTAGAACGATTACATTTCCTAATTTAATATATTAGAACATGCAGAAATCTCTAGCATGGAGGCCATATTGTTGATTTATTTATCTAATTTTACATCTTAGAAAATATTTTTTATTGTCAGAATTTCTTTTGAAATAATAATATTTTACTGACAAAATTCCTACTAATTAACCCATAGCTAGGGAGAGAAGAGGTGGATTCATACATTCTCAACGGTTATTTTCGCGACATTCAATATAACAACTGAAATTAAAACTTGACTTTACAATTTTCATTTCCGAGTTGTTATCCATTATTCGACCCGCGCATCCAAACTTACAACTCCTGGTATTCCCAAGCGGTTACCCACCGAGATACTGACCAGGTTCAACGTTGCTTAACTTCCGTGGTCGTACGAGAACGGGTAATTTAACGTGATATGAAGTAACCCGCCATATTTTTGAAGACGTAGCAAGGTCGAAAAGTTTGATCTCTATGCTGGACGCCTCAATGTTCTTCGTGAATGAGATACAAAGGTTCACTAAAGAAATACCTTAACACTTGTTACATCGACCATCGCAAGTGATCAGACCTAGCCGGTTTTTATTAAAAATAGAACTTGCTGTTCATAAAGCCATCTTTCCTTAGACTATTGATCACCAAATGCAAGGTCTAAGTATCACTCGAGGGATAAGCTTATTCATTGCAAACGTTGTAAGAGCATATAGGCAGAGAACAAAGGTTGCATATCTATATGATAAATGCGAAAGCCAGTGTGTCACTGTATCACACTTTTTCAATTAAAGGGACAAAGTTCTCTAATTTTTAATAGCTCATCTTCTTCCCCTATATAATTAATGCTAATGTCACTGTGTCATTTTTTTTCAATTAAAGGCAGACAGTTTTCAATAACTTATCTTCTATATAATAAATGTGAATGTGAGTGTGTCACTGTGTCCGACTTTTTAACTTTACTCCTACAGGCCGTAGTCCAACATATTATACGATATTGGAATCAGACCGACTCCGTGAGAAAATTAAAAACATTTCGGGTCGGATTTGAACCCGCAATCCTGAAATGGTGAACTCTCAAATTTTCATTTTCATAACTTGGGAATAAATTTGCGAATACTCGAAATTATTTGCGAAATCCAACGAAAGTCACCCATGAAATAAAAATAATTGTTTGTACAGAAAGTAAGGATCTACGTACATCATATTGTCTTTAAATTAAATGGCGGCAGATGAATTATTGTGGTACTTTTAAAAGATAAGCTTAAATATTGATGCAATACTTAAATGTAGCGAGCAATTATGAGTTCTCTTGGAGTTTATTGTTGTCTATCGCATCTAATCCTCCCTACCTATTGTGATGAAAACCCAATCAAGAGGGCACCGATGGAGCTAGCTTACAGGCTGCCCGATAGGCGGCTTTTAAGTTATGAAATATGTACGATACATAAAGGTGGAAGTTCGACGTGAAGAAGTCAAGATTGTAGTGATTACGGAAGCATCCCCCTATGTGTGCATTCCACTTTGCTACATTTCTGGGAAAGATGAAAGAAAAGGCTCATTTACTCCTTACCTATGAATATGAAGAGAATAGAGATGAGTTGATCCAGTGGATATGAAATGCCGGGTGGCAGCTTTCAAGGGAAATAGTTCTCACAAGCATCTACTCTAAATAAGCGAGAGTGTACTAATATTCTGTCTGAAGAGAGGAGGTTGAAGCGTGAAAAATATTCACCACACACAAGTCCGTTTAACTGATTTTGAATTCGATCGAGGCAGGAAATTGAAGATTGACAATTTCCAAATCATATGCTCCATGTTTCTTTTGATCTGGCTCCTGCAGAGATAGAGCATGGCAGGAAAATCTATGTCCATTCTGGGTCGGGACATGGCGATTACCAATTTTGCATAGTTTTTTCTACGAGTCCTATTTCACGTCTGATGTGTGCTTGAGTAGTAACAGACGCTCGATTAAAAAAACATTTTCGAGAGTTCATCACGGCTGGAGAAAATTCTTGGTTTCCATGGTGATGAAATGTTACGAACGCAGGACAGACCTGACTGAAAAGCTATTCCAACCGATTTACCAGATAACAAATCCTCGATCCAAAAATTATTTGTCTTGCATTGGACAGATCCGCCTGCGGCAGACGTGGAGAGTTGAACGTGATTCGCGAAACGAAGCCAAAAGTCTTATTTAAATATTCGTGAGCTTTTCGGTCTTTAAGTCACGAGACAATTTCTTGTCATAGTTTGAAAAATAGAGATTTAGTAGTTCTTTAACAAATTGAAAAAGAAAAAAAAAATGGAGTACGTAACTTCTGTGAGACTATCCCTCATTTTCCAAATTTGACAAGATAAGACGATTGGCAGTATTTTTTTTTACGTTTTACGCGTTTAAAGAGACAGCTTAAACTTTTAAGAAAAAATCAATACAGTAATTACCAGATTTAAGTGTATGCTTCATTGCTTATCTTCTCATTTAACCGTGATAAGCAATCAATATATATTGGAAAAATGTCTTATTCGGATATTGCTCAAAGTGAGTATTAATCTATGTTCGTTTTTTTTTTCTTTATTAATATCCATTGGTTTAATCAGTACTAAATTGATGCTTGTCTGCTATTACATCATTGGAATCTCGAATACTAGCATATAACTATCCACAGTTTCGCAGATGATACAAACATACTATCGTACGTACGATAAAGACACTGTCACGAAGGTCGCTTTTATCTATTATTTAAAGACTAAGAGACCGTTCGAAAGTCGCTATAGTAATGGTTATATTAATATATGCCGTTTCCTTATGGGAAAACTTTCAGCACACGCTGGCGGAGAAGACGATGCTGCAGACGGTTAGAATTTATAAGATATTTCTATTAAAATGACATTCAAGAAAGCATGTTTGTCTAATTCGATAACTGTTATTATTCTTTCTACTAATGATGGGGGTTCCTCACTAAATATTTTTTGTTTAGAGTAGGGTGGCGCATTAAAATATTGGATATTATTATTTTCTCTTCGAGTCACATGTGGTATCCATTTTAATTGCGTTTTCTGTTATTTAGTACAGCTCTTGTGTGCAATGCTTTTGTGCCCCGTACTACAAAGAAGGATGGTCCTCAGAATGAGTTACTTTCTTTACTTGCTGGAAGAATTTTTTAATCAGTTATCTAGGAAAGGGGTTTTAAACAATTGAGAATTTTATATTTCCAGAATAGTTTGGTGCCACTCATGGCATTCAGATGAAAGTTTCGATATGACGAGCGTATTTAATAACATGTGGACATTTTAATTGATGTTCTGATTTGTAGATTTAATTTGATAAAAATTTGTAATATGTAGTTTCTCATGTATGCACAAAAGACATGGGTCATTTAATTATCTACATATTCTAGTTTTTCTTATTAATTTCCATTTTACTGTAGGTGTTTTATTGGATTCTTTTAAGTGCCAGAAATATTTTCGGTATACATATATATATATATATACCGAAAATATTTCTAAATTTAAAAAATCTCTCTCTCTCTCTCTCTCTCTCTCTATATATATATATATATATATATATATATATATATATATATATATATATATACATACAGTGTAACCCGGATATAAGAGAAACCCGTATATAAGAGAGATTTCTCTGGTCCCAAATTAGAGCCCGTGTTAATGTATATAAAATAGACCAAACCCGGATATAAAGAAACCCGAATATAAGAGACTTCTTCTCCGGTTCCGACAACTCTCTTATATCCGAGTTACATATATCTATATATATATATATATATATATATATATATATTATGGACAATGGAAATATTTTCTTTTGTGACAAGTATTTATATAGAAGAGCAAAAACTGGATAAAAAACAGATTCCTAGTACGACCTACATACTCAAGAAATTCCACTACCCAGAACAATCTATCATATCTAAGCAGCATGAAAATCACTGCAACCACATCCAAAACTATTATGGATATAATCAAAACCATAACTGCCTACAGCAATAACAATACTGAAACAGGTATATACAAAATAAATTATCAGAACTGTTCCTCAAAATATGTTGCGGGAGACAAAATTATCTTTGTACTCAAAAGAGAAATTATGCAAAACAATTTAATTAATCACATGCATTAATTATACAGACATATAAATTCAACACTTTTATCTATCAATTATATTTTATCTATATAATCTTACTAAAAAAACGAAAGGCACTTATTTAGGAGGGAAATTTTTTGAAATTGCTTCTATCGAATATTATCAAAATGTAAATCTGAGCCCCGGATCATTTCCTGTATATCATTTCCGGAAAGAATTACTACTTTACAAGTCAAGATATATGACCACAAATATACTAACAACTTAAAAGTAAACATTTATAACCATAAACTCACGTCATTCAAAATATTTAACACATAAAACAATCCAGCTTGAAAAATTTAATACTAATTCTACATATATATATATATATATATATATATATATATATATATATATATATATAGAGAGAGAGAGAGAGAGAGAGAGAGAGAGAGATAATCTATTCACTTTCAGTTATTAAATATTGAATTGCATCACCTCATGTCGACTATAACTTTCAGGATTTTTCCATCCGCTGATGAATATTAATAAACGATTTATTACCCTGATAAATATTGATGACCTATTAATTGTGAAAAACTTCGAAAAAACAATAACAGTGTTGCTCTTGTATATAAATAATTGTCACGAAATAAAATCCTTACATCTTCCTTGATAATATCCCTCAGTGGTCGATACGCGTTGGCTATGATTGCTTTTCCTTTTGTAGTTATTCATATTGCCCTTATAAAGATATACACTATTTGTAATTTTACACACACAGACACACATAAACACACAGAAACACACACACACACACACACACACATATATATATATATATATATATATATATATATATATATATATATATATATATATATATATATATATATATATATATATATATATATATATATATATATATATATATATATACTAGTAGAGCCCGGCGTTGCCCGGTGATGTAACAGTAAAAGAGATATATCAAGTATCGACTATCATAAAGACTGAAAAATAAAATTGACAAAGATTATTGTTTAAGGTTGACGGACACACGTCTTAATTAGTTTTTTTTTTTGATTTTTTGTTTTTTTTTACGAATTGGTCAAACCCAAACTCAAGCAAAAACATTGTTTTCAATCGTTATGAGTCCATCGAATGAATATAATTTTATTATAAACAATTGTCTTGTAAATGGAATTTTTAAAGCATTCTGAATGTAAAAATAAAGAAAAAAAGTGTGCAAGACAATACGAAACACTACCTGCCAAAAAAAAAAAAAGAAGTGAAGTTTTGTTGAAATCGGTAGAAAAATGTAGGAAATCCG